AGCATTCGAACATTCGACGTGGCCACCCGCAGTGCGTTTTAGCTATTTGTTGAGGAACCACCTGGTTTAGTGGTACAAAAATTGAAGGTGGAGGAGTTACCAGGCGCTCGGACCTGTAAAGATCCCCGTTTGGCCGCTGTGCTGGCTACAAACGCCATGAATGGGTATCGCCGATTTTGGAACTGGCCTTCCCTCCATGGAATTGCTCACATCCACCACAGCGTTACCATCCAGCACAAAGACAACAATTTTACGTAGAGCCTTAACAGGCTGCTAAGCAAGTGCTGTTATCGAGCACGAGTGAAGGCCGGCACAGCACACGAGGGGGTGGGTGGCCAGCACCAGGCCGCCTTTGTCTCCTCAGTAGCGATGTTTTACACACCGCACCAGGTACTCATTTGAGGCTGAGTCGTCCTAGGAGAGGACCAGGACCGGTTCAAATAATCGTCACGTGGTGCTGGCCATGAGTGGGAATCAAACTCGGGTCTCCAGGTTCGTAGCGCAGTGTGATAACCGCTACACTACCGCTCCCCACTAACACACATACTACACACATTACACACACCACAATAACAACCGCCATGCGCCACTAAGTGGCTGCGACATCGCCACGATGCTTGTGCCAGGCTATGTGCACGTTGAGGCCACGTGAAGTGTCGAACGCCCGATGGCAGGAGGTCATGGGGCAGACCCAGGTGCCACGGGTCGACTGAATGAAATGAGTTGCTGATGCACCACCTGTGCCCCCTACTGTGCCAACTTGCTATGCTTTAGCCACCCGGTGCTCTGCTCGTTGTTGTGAGCGTCGCTCCTCCGCCATCCGTTGTTGCTGGGGGGCGACTGCCTCCAACTGCCCAGTAGCGTCCTTCACGAGCCTCCTCCACAGAGGTCGATCTTGATACCACTGGTACCAGTCAACGGCAAGTCCACTCAGCTCCACGTCCTCCTGTACCACATCATTCCATCTCTTCTCTAGCCCATGCCGCACCCATTTAGCCTCCTCTATCCGGCCGAACAAAAGCTGTTTAGGCATCCGGTGCCTGAGCATGCGGGCTACATGACCCAGCCAACGCAGCCTTGCCTGCCGGAGGAACTCAACGATGGGACTTTGTCTAGATCTTTCAAGGATTGGAAGCTCCTTACACAATCCAGCCTGTTTAAACTCAGGATGGATCGTAGGCAGGCCAGCCTAAATGTTTCTTACTGGCGAAGATGCTCCATTAGGGGGGTCCACGTTTCGCACGTGTATAGAAGGGAGGGCATGACTTTAGCCGAGAAGACCTGAAGCTTAGTGCGGAGCGACAGACCAGGTAGCTTCCACACAGCGTTACGCAACTGATGAAAAATATTGCCGCTCGACTGATTCGGAGTGAGACCTCTGTCGTCAAACCGGAGCCAGTCATGAGCACACTGCCCAGGTATGGGAAACTCTCCACTCTCTCCACAACTGCCCCATCACCTTTTGGGAGTTGTGTTGCCTCTTTCTGCTTGTGTGTCTGTTCTACCTGATGACGACTGCTTGTGTTGCAATCAAAACGTCGTATTCTGTTATTTAATTAATTTTCTTTCTACGATGACTTTACCGAAATAAGCAAAGAGTAATTCCTGCAGTCACGGAATCTTCAATTAAAGTTTGTTGTTATGATGTCAAGTAGGTCAGTCTGTGCACAAACACCACCCTCCCTCAGCATTTCACTTGGGAGATCATCTCTGTCCAGTGCTTTTCCTGGTTTCAGACTCTGCATCGCCTTCAGTACTTCCTCAACAGATAGCACCTCAGCCAGCCACTCACAGGGGGTGACTTCTTCCAATATTTGAGGCACCGCAGTCTCAGCAGGGTCATCCTCACTTTGTGCCACGATGCTTTCCATGCTGAGGGATTTTCCCTCCCCAAGACCTCACAGAAATGCTCAGCAAATCTGCAAACCTGTTCCTCTTGGTCGGAGATTGGATCACCGTTCTTTCCCCTAATGATTTTGATAGGTGTGTCACTACAAGTTACTTTGTTGATCAATTGAAAGAGTGATTTGTGATCGCGGGCCACCGAGGCAGACTCCATCTCCTCAGAAACCAGCAACCACCACCAATCCTTGCAGCGCCTCAAGGCTCTCCGACCTTCCGAGCGAAGGCTGCGGTAGGCCTCCTCATTCTCTGATGAGGGATGCTGTAGCCGATGAGAGTGGGCCTATCGCTTTTTCTAAGCCAATTTGAACACCTCCTCTGTCAGCCAGGGTCTCTGGGGAGGTCCGGACCGCCTACCCAAGGCAGCCATTGCAGCTGTATGAGCCACAGTCCTAAACCTCGCCAATTTCCCCTCGACATCATGAGGAGTGGGGGATGATGCCAGCGATGATGAAATTATCACTCGCAACTTTCATCAGCTAGCTGAGACCATGCCACTATGGGTTTGAATGGGGTCCTGGGTGTACACCCACTACCGGAGTGGAAGAATGGCAAGCACATCTTACAGATGACAAGTCGATGGTCAGTGGGCAGATCAGCTCCACAGTAGTTCCTGGTGTCAAGGACATAGGCCCGCATCCTCAGTTCCGTCACTAGATAGTCCAGCAGATGTTCTTGCTTGGACCCAGCATGCATCTATGATGTTGTGTGGATGCGCCGATGCTGGAACAGTGTGTTGGTAATTACAAGACCACTCTGACACACACTCTTAACACACACACACTCTAACACACACACCACACACACTCTAACACACAGACCACACACTAACACACAGACCACACACATACTCTAACACACACACTACACACACACTACACACACACTATCACACACACACCACACACACTCTAACACACACACTACACACACACACTATCACACACACACACACACACCACAAACACTCTAACACACACTACACACACACTCTAACACACACCAAACACTCTAACACACCACACACACTCTAACACACACACACCACACACACTCTAACACACACACATACACCACACACACCACACACACTCTAGCACACACACAATAACACACACACCACACACACTTTAACACACACTACATACACTATCACACACACCACACACACACTCTAACACACACTACACACACTACACACACACTTTAATACACACCACACACACCACACACTCTAACACACAAACACCACACACTCTAACACACACACACACACTAACACACTAACACACACCACACACTAACACGCACACACCACACACTAACACATACCACACACACTCTAAAACACACACACACCACACACACCACACACACTCTAACACACACACACCACACACACCACACACACTCTAACACACACACCCCACACACACACCACACACACCACACACACTCTAACGCACACACACTCCACACACACTCTAAAACACACACACCACACACACCACACACACTCTAACACACACACCACACACACACCACACACACCACACACACTCTAACGCACACACACACCACACACACTCTAAAACACACACACCACACACACCACACACACTTTAACACACACACCCACACACACACCACACACACCACACACACTCTAACACACACACACACCACACACACACCACAAACACCACACACACTCTAACGCACACACACACCACACACACTCTAAAACACACACACACCACACACACCACACACACTCTAACACACACAATAACACACACACACCACACACACTCTAACACACACACTACATACACACACTAACACACACCACACACACTCTAACACACGCTACACACACACACTCTAACACACACCACACACTCTAACACACAAACACCACGCACTTTAACACACACACACTAACACACACACACCACACACACACACTAACACACACACACACACCACACACACACTCTAACACACACACCACACACCACACTAACACACACACCACACTAACACACACACACACCACACACACTCTAACACACACCACACACACCACACACCACACTAACACACACACCACACTAACACACACACACCACACACACTCTAACACACGACTCCCACTCCCCACGTCTTCCTCCCCACCCTTTCTCCCCTTGCCGAAGCTCTCTCAGCGCTGGCCAATTCCACGACCAAAGCGAACTCGACATCACCACCACTACCATCACCACCCCATCACCACCACCACTACCATCATCACCACCCCATCACCACCACTACCACTACCACCCCATCACCACCACCACTACCATCACCACCCCATCACCACCACTTCCACTACCATCACCACCACTACCATCACCACCCCATCAACATCATCATCACCACCACTACCATCACCACCCCATCACCACCACCACCACTACCATCACCACCCCATCACCACCACTACCACCCCATCACCACCACTACCACTACCACCATCAACATCATCATCACCACCACTACCATCACCACCCCATCACCACCACTACCACCCCATCACCACCACTACCATCACCACCACTACCATCACCACCTCTACCATCACCACCCCATCAGCACCACTACCACCCCATCACCACCACTACCACCACCCCATCACCACCACTACCACTACCATCACCACCATCAACATCATCATCACCACCACTACCATCACCACCCCATCACCACCATCAACACATCAACATCACCACCACCACTACCATCAACACCACCACCATCACCACCATCAACATAATCAACAGCATCATCATCACCACCACTACCATCACCACCATCAACATAATCAACAGCATCACCACCACCAACACGATCACCACTACCAACACCACCATCAACACATTAACCACTACTATCAACACCATCAACATTAACTCCATCACCACCATCAAGATCATCAAGATCATTAACAAGATAATTAACATCACTATCATTAACATTACTATCACCAATACTACCACTATCATTAACACCACCACCATCATCAATATCATCATCAACAACAACACCACCACCATCACTATCATCATCAATATCATCATTCACATTGACGCCATCAACATCAACAACATTACCATCAACATCACAAATATTGACGCCATCATCACCATCGTCAACATCACCAACATCGCTTGCTACGAGAACGACGATCATCTCCACCACTCCCATCTCCGCCATCACGAACAACGTTGTGGATTACGTGACGTGGAGTTTACAACACAAGCAGACATGAGGTAAGACACACACAGACACACACAGACACTTACACACACACACAGAGACACTCACACACAGACACACACATACACTTACACACACACAGACACTTACACACACACACAGAGACACTCACACACACACAGAGAGACACTCAAACACACACAGAGACACTCACACACAGAGAGAGACACTCAGACACACACAGACACACACACAGACACACAGAGACACAGACACACAGAGACACTCACACACAAAAAGACACACAGACACAGACAGAGACACACACACACAGACACACACATACACTTACACACACAGACACACACAGACACTTACACACACACACAGAGACACTCAGACACACACAGAGACACTCACACACAAAGAGACACTCAAACACACACAGAGACACTCACACACAAAGAGACACTCACACACACACAGAGACACTCACACACAAAGAGACACTCACACACACACAGACACACACACAGACACACAGAGACACTCACACACACAGACACACAGAGACGCACACAGACACACACAGACACTTACACACACACAGAGACACTCAAACACACACAGATACACTCACACACAAAGAGACACTCACACACACAGACACTCAAACACACACAGAGACACTCACACACAAAGAGACACTCACACACACACACAGACACACACACACAGACACACAGAGACACTCACACACACAGACACACAGAGACGCACACAGACACACACAGACACTTACACATACACAGAGACACTCAAACACACACAGATACACTCACACACAAAGAGACACACACACAGACACACACAGACACTTACACACACACAGACACTCAAACACACACAGAGACACTCACACACAAAGAGACACTCACACACACACAGCCACACACACACAGACACACAGAGACACTCACACACAGAGACACACACAGACACACAGAGACACACACAGACACACACAGACACACACACAGACACTCAAACACACACAGAGACACTCACACACAAAGAGACACTCACACACACACAGACACACACACAGACACACAGAGACACTCACACACACAGACACACAGAGACGCACACAGACACACACAGACACTTACACACACACAGAGACACTCAAACACACACAGATACACTCACACACAAAGAGACACACACACACAGACACACACAGACACTTACACACACAAACAGACACTCAAACACACACAGAGACACTCACACACAAAGAGACACTCACACACACAGACACACAGACACAGACACACAGAGACACTCACACACACAGACACACACAGAGACACTCACACACACATAGATACACACATACACTTACACACACAGACACACACAGACACTTACACACACACAGACACTTACACACACACAGACACTCAAACACACACAGAGACACTCACACACAAAGAGACACTCACACACACAGAGACACACACACACAGACACACAGAGACACTCACACACACAGACACACACAGACACTTACACACACAGAGACACTCACACACAGACACACACACAGACACACACACACAGAGACACTCACACACACACAGACACTTACACACACTTACAGACACAGAGACACTCACACACACACAGACACACACAGAGACACTCACACACACACAGACACACACAGACACTCACACACAGACACACACAGACACTTACACACACAGCCACAGACACACACAGACACTTACACACACAGACACACACAGAGACACTCACACAGACACACACAGACACAGACAGAGACACACAGACACAGAGACACTCATACACAGACACACACAGAGACACACACAGACACACACAGAGACACACACACAGACACTCACACACAGAGACACTCACACATAGACACACACGGAGACACTCACACACAGACACTCACACACAGACACTCACAGGCACTTATACACAGACACACACAGAGACACTCAGACACACACAGACACTTACACACACTTATAGACACAGAGACACACACACAGACAACAACAACCGCCATTTGCCACTAAGTGGCGGTGACGTCACCACGATGCTTGTGCCAGGCCATGTGCACCTTGAGGCCACGTGAAGTGTCGAACGCCTGCCGTGCAGGAGGTCACGGGGCAGACCCAGGTGCCACGGGTCGACTGACTGAGATGACTGGCTGGTGCACCACCTGTGCCCCCTACTGTGCCAACCTGCTGTGCTTTAGCCACCCGGCGCTCCGCTCGTTGTTGTGAGCGTCGCCCCTCCGCCCTCCGTTGTTGTTTTGGAGGGCGACTGCCTCCAACTGTCCAATAGCGTCCTTCACGAACCTCCTGCACAGAGGCCGATCTTGACACCGCTGAGACCAGTCATCGACAAGTCCATTCAGCTCCACGTCCTCCTGTACCACATCACTCCATCTCTTCTCTAGCCAGTGCCGCGCCCGTTTAGCCTCCTCAATCCGGCCGAACAAAAGCTGTTTCGGCATGCGGTGGCTGGGCATGGGGGCTACATGACCCAGCCAACGCAGCCTTGCCTGCCGGAGGAGCTCACCGATGGGACCTTGCCCAGATCTTTCAAGGATTTTTGAGCTCCTCACACAATCCAGCCTGGTTAAACCCAGGATGGATCGTAGGCAGGCCAGCCTAAATGTTTCCAACCGGCGAAGATGCTCCATTAAGGGGGTCCACGTTTCGCAAGCGTAGAGAAGGGAGGGAATGACCGTAGCCGAGAAGACCTGAAGCTTAGTGTGGAGTGACAGACCAAGTAGCTTCCACACAGCGTTATGCAACCGATGAAAAAATATTGCCACTCGACTGATTCAGAGTGAGACCTCTGCTGTTAAACTAGAGCCGGTCATAAGCACACTGCCGAGGTATGGGAAACTCTCTACTCTCTCCACAACTGCCCCATCACCGATTGGGAGTTGTGGGGGTGGAGTGTCCCATGGTACAAAATACCCAGGCAGGTGCTTAGTTTTGGTGGGGCTGATGGTAAGGCCCCACCTCTTAGTGGCACGCTCCAGTCTCAGCAGCAGCGTCTCCAACTCCTCCTCTGAATGAGCAGCTATTACTAAATCATCAGCATACATAACGTGGTTGAGCAATACAGAGCCATCCTTTACCGCACCCGGGCATCGATCAGCCTCCCATTATATCTGGTCCAAATGGAGATTCCCCCTGTACAGCTTTTGAAGGCTTCACGAACTACGTGGTAAAAATAGAAGTTATATAATGTGGGAGCCAGAGGACATCCCTGTCGCACCCCAAGGTGTACAGGGAATGTCTCTGACTCCCGGCCACATAGTTTTACCCGGGCCCGCTCACCATCATGAAGGTCCTTAATGATTGTGTGCAAAGAGTCAGGGACTCAAAGCATGAAGAACAACCCAGAGCCCAGGCCTACTGATGGTATCATCGGCCTTGACCAGGTCAATAAAGCAGAGATGTAGGTCTTGTTGGAATTCCCTACACCTCTGCTGTAGCAGACGGACAGAAAATATGGCATCTGTGCAGGACCGCCCTTTCCTGAAACCGCATTGGGGCTCCGCAAGCCTCTCCTCAGCGTACCTCGCGAGGTGATGTTGATTAATCCTTGCCAGGACCTTTCCCGGCACACTGAGGAGTGAGATGCCCCTGTAGTTGTTACAGTCTGTGCGGTCCCCCTTCTTAAAGAGGGGGACCACCAGGGCATCCTTCCAATCCTGCGGAACCCGTCCAGTGGTCCAGACTGTTATGATGTCATATAGGGCAGTTTGTGCACAAACGCCACCCTCCCTCAGCATTTCGCTTGGGAGATCATCTCTGCCCGCTGCCTTTCCTGGTCTCAGACTCCGGATCATTCAGTACTTCCTCAAAGGATGGTACTTCAGCCAGCCACTCACAGGGGGTGACTTCTTCCAATATTTGAGGCACCGCAGCCTCAGCAGCGTCATCCTCACTTTGTGCCACGATGTTTTCCTGGCTGAGGGATTTCCCTCCCCCAGGACCTCACAGAAATGCTCAGCAAATCTACAAACCTGTTCCTGGGGGTCGGAGATTGGATCACCGTTTTTTCCCCTAATGATGGTAATAGGTGTGGCGCTGCAGATTACTTTTTTGATGGAGTTAAATAGAGATTTGTGATCACGGGCCACTGAGGCAGACTCCATCTCCTCAGCAACCCGCGACCACCACCCATCCTTGCAGCGCCTCACGGCTCTCCGAACCTCCGAGCGAAGGCTGTGGTAAGCCTCCTCATTCTCTGACGTGGGATTCTGTAGCCGATGACAGTGGGCCTGTCGCTTTTTCTCAACCATCCTGAACACCTCCTATGTCAGCCAGGGTCTCTGGGGAGGTCTGGTCTGCGTACCCAAAGCAGCCATTGCAGCTGCATGAGTCACAGTCCTAAACCTCGCCCCTTTACCCTCGACATCAGGAGGAGTCGGGGACGATGACATTCCCAGCCGCAAGCAATGATGAAATTCTCGCTTGCAACTTTCATCAGATAACTGAGACCAGGCCACTTTGGGTTGGAATGGGGTCCTGGGTGTACACCCACCACCGGAGTGGAAGAATGGCAGGCGCATCTTACAGATGACTAGTCGATAGTCAGAGGGCAGATCAGCTTCACGGTAGGTCCTGATGTCAAGAACATGGGCTCGCATCCGCTGGTCCGTCACTATGTAGTCCAGCAGATGTTCTTGCTTGGACCCGGCATGCATCCATGATGTTGTGTGGATGCGTCGATGCCGGAGCAGCGTGTTGGTAATTACAAGCCCATGGGCTGCACAAAAATCTAGCAGCCTCCTACCGTTGTTATTGAGCTGATCTGGCCCATGCCCTCCAATCACTCCAGACCAGGTGCCAGCATCATGACCAACTCGGGCATTGAAGTCACCCAACATGATTACTCAATCCCGAGGTGCCACTTTAGCCAGCAGCGGTGACAGGAGGTCTTAGAAGGCATTTGACTCATCGGCTTTGCCTGCATCCCTCCACAG